CGCTTAATTGACTTCTTCAGCTCAATCCAGGTCAAAGAACTTGGATCAAGTTCAAAAATCCCTCTATAACAATAATATAAAGGAGGCTATGGAAGTCCTAAAGTAAATCTCATGTTTTAGCATACTTTATTACAAATAATTTTAAAATCCTCAGCTATTTAAAAGCTTTCTTCATGGGATCTTCCCTGCTGAACATCCCAACAAGTTTCCCATGCCTGAACATCCCAACAATCTAAAAAGTTATTGCAGTTGAAAATATTTGCACCTCTTACATAAAATGATGATACTCAGAGAATGACTTTGTAGTTATTTCGTTTGCTGTATTTAACAACATTCATTCTTTTCCTAATTTACCATGTAACAAGACAGGACAGTAGCTCTTAAAAATGCCAACACCTCAACAGTTACTATGTGGCTTATCACTGAACACCAACTTCATCTGGTGTTTTTGTCAAGGACATCACAAACTCAACCTAACAGAAACCCCTAGTTGATTTCACTTGTTAGCTCCAGTGTCAGACTGTAGCGCACTGACATAACATAGCTTTAAACTAATTCCTACCTTGGCTCAATTTTTATCACAAGTTTCATACTGACATATTTCAAACATTTTTCTCTGAGCCTCAGATGGAAGAGAACAGAAGATTAATTACAATACTGTGGAAAAAATAGGGCATGGGCTTGTAAATACAATGGGTTGTTTTACATTAGTCCAACGAAGAAAAATTATTCTCACACTGGGTTTGAATTCATCATCAATTAGAATTTTTACACAACAAACCCAGAGCATCCTGCTGAACCCAAATCACAGCTGGCAATTCTGCAGCCCAGTGAGGCAAGGTAGCCACTGCCTTTGAAAAAGCTCCTTCCATTGCTTTAGGGAAACACCAAGAGGAGCAAGAATAATAAGCTGTTGTCCTGACAACCTTACAAAATAAAACCTAGGCTTACTTTACTATAGCAGAACACTACAGACAACCTGATCACTGTAAACTGCTCCTAGCTCCTAATTCTTCAAGTGCAGCTGGCACTTCAATAAGCAAGACCAGCACAGCAAAACACATATGCTTACTTACACACTGTTGATGATATGCACATTAGGTACGAGAATGTATGAACAGACACAGCCACACTTTTCTGTTCTTTTTTTCCACCCCAACACTTCTTTTCCACTTTGTGTCACACTAGTATTACAATGGGGTTTCAAGCTAAAATGTATCAAGTATTAATTTTCAGTGCTGAGAAGCCAGAAAAACACTTGGAAGCAGAGGAGTGCTCTTTTCCTTGAACACAGTTTAAGTATCTAAAAGTAGGAAGTAATTAGTTTTGAACAGAAAGCTATAAATGAGAACAACCAGACAAGAATGATAAAATACTTGCAACTCTCAGGTGGGGAAAAAAAAAAAAAAAAACACAAAAAAACAACACAACAAACCTGGACAAACCCTAACTGACTGAAATGTCCTATTTTTTACGAACACCTTCTTCACAAATTATGGGAAATAGAGCTGGTGTTTTGCAATGACAATTTTGCTAACTATGCATTAATTTCAGTACTTCTTTTTACTCCCCCACATGAAAGGGAAAAAACTAGCAAAAATATGTTAACACTATGTGCACTTATAAAGACATACTTTAGAATGTTTCAGCCTGCCCTTACCTTAATTGACATTTCATTGCCACAACCCTTCAAAATTTATCCGATTTTACTGAAATGACTGTAAAAATCAAAAATGGATTATAGAGTGGCCCAGAAATTCCTTTCCATCTCATATATATGGAACTACCAAGTGTAAAAAAGAAAAGGCAACTCAAAACAAAACACCAAAAATGCCAAATCACTTGAAAAATTTTATCAAGGTATTAAAACACATTTTATTGCAAAAACACATTTTATTGCATTTAAATTAACCTACCACAGAATGTCTGATGTTCTCAGAGTACCTTTCTTAATAGAAACATTTTAAGTATTGTAATCTGTTGTTCCTGTAATTTGTAAAATTTCATTACAGTTTGTATCAGGTTTAAAAAAAAGTTGGTGAGCCTAAAGGGAAATGGAAGGGTAAATTGATGAGTTTTATGACAGCTTTGTATCTTTAATCTTTTAGGTAGTCTTTGAAACATAGATATTTCACAATATTAATTTTACAGGTGTAAGTCATATGAAAACAATTTGATTGGATTTATGTTAGAGGACACATGATACACATAAATGCAGGCAGGCATTATCACAATCCACAGCCACTATGCCAGTGAAAATTCAGGCAGCCAAAGGAGAGGGGGAGGAAAGAAGAAACAGTAAACAATACAGGAGCATTGCACAAATATCTGCAGAGCTGGGTATGCAACTTTGCAGGATCCAGAACAAAAAATGAAGACATTATATAAGAAAAGATTCAAAGTCAATGGCAAAACTCCAAGTCCTGTGCTCAGAATTTTATTTAAGCTGCTGAGGGGGAGGGGCAGCCAGACAACTTCAGCTACTGCCACCTTCCAGCCTCCCAGCTACAACAAGCCAATTTACTACCGCTCCTCTAGCCTCCTTCCAGATTCCATCACTTTCGAAAAATAGCTATGGTATCTTTCTACATTACATGTCACAGCTTAAAAAAAAAAGGCCAAAAAAAAAAGAGTAGCTACAGGTATTTTTCCAAAGGAACACAGAATCCCCAGTTAACAGCACTAAAATAAATGCCTACTTCATTTCAAAAATCTACTATTCTTAAAATGCCTTACAAGCATCGAATCCAATAAAGCTGTTTACTTGCATGTCAAAAAGACAGGACAGCAGCTGCTTACATTTACTACATGTTCAGAACACTACCTCCATAAGGATTCAAGACACTTCTTAAAACAAAACCTTTAATTATGTATGCACTGCTCATTATTTAAGAAATTCCAGAAAACCAGAAGAATCCACTTATAAATCTTGAGTAGCTAACTGCTGATGTAATTACAGTTTCATGATCCAAACAAGAGCCTACATATCTTCTAGTAAGAACTATGGTACAAACTAATCACAATGACATTTCTGCCTACTGCTGTCCTGTCTAACTAAAAACTAGAAGAGTATCACCAACTATAATAATCCTTTTCAATCTTCTGCTCATTCAATTATGCCTCAAAGTGGCTTCAAATCTGGGGTCAGTGCTTTACTACAAAGGCAGGCAGGTTCTCTCTCATTTACTTCTGTCAGGATAAATCAGATGTTTAACATTAAGTTTGCTTTTTTACAACAAACTAAAAAAAAAAAAAAAGACAGCTATTCATGTGAAATCCTGACAATTCTTAAAAATCTAACCAGTCATATGACATCATCACTGAATGTCATCAGGAATTAAGGTTATTCTTAATGCAGTTTATGTAAACAACTAGTGTTTAAAAAACAAGCAAACAAACAACTGTGAAACATACTTTTTAATCTACTAAATACAAATTCCCTCATAAATTCTTCTTATTGGATTCTTTCATTTAGTAGACAGTTCTCACACTCTTCTCTCAAAATTCAGGTAGAAAAAACAGGGTTGAAAAAGACTATCAGGGGCACCCCTACCTTAAACTCCATTGACTCTCCAGATTTATAAAAGGATGAAAATTGTGCTGAAAATAAAGTGATAAACTCAAGTTGGTCTTGCAAGAGGTAACTTTTCAAGGAATCAGATATAAATTATGTTAACTAATACAAGAAAGATTTCTACTCTGAGGACAATACTGCAACATCCAGAAAATAAACAGCCACCTCCACTTCACTGATCCACAACCCAGCTTACTCAAACATTTTATAATTGCAAAGCATTTTAAACTGCAAAGATAAAATTGCATGGAAAAAGAGCATTTGTCAAACCCAGGTTTCATTCAGGCTGTGAAAACAGCTACTGTTGGTAATCTTGGATGACTAACGTGAGAAAGTATATAACCCAGTGCCCCACCCTCTTTCCACAATCTGTAACTTGTATTATCATAATAGCATAGCATTTCTTCCTCTATATTACCAAACTAGATCTCTCAGCAGTAAAAGGCAGGAACCTACTGAAAATATTTTAACATCCAACCATCTAAATATAATCCTAACTCCAGGCAAGGCAAGGAGAAAATACTTCCTTTCTCCTGCAGTTTGAACAGGTGATCTGCAGATAAAGAGTTTAGGTGCAATGCCCTATCTCCAGGATGAAGCTGGAAGTGAAAAAACGAACTGTCGGTTCTGTCATAAAAGTCAAAAGCAGAAAAAAAAAAAAAAAAAAAAAAAACCAACAAAAAAAAGGAAAAAAAAAAAAAGGATGGCTTTGCCATCTGTTTGACCACTGCTTTGCTTAGTTCCTCATTTGACTCTCTTCATTTGCAAGAGTATTTCACGATGCACTTGAGTAATGGCATGTCATGAATGCCTACAAAAAGAAGACCATATTATCTTTCTTTCAGAAAAAATGAAATATAAGCCTTTAAAAATACTCTAATATGTACAATAAGCAAATACCAGCTACAAAGAACTAAGGTTTTATTTAGTTCTAAGCTCTAAGCTTCACGTTATATCCTTGGCATATATGAATGAGACGATCTTTAATTGATCCAACAGGATTGGTGAAACAGTCTGGCATCCTTACAAGCATTCCTTCTGGTTACATGTAAGTGCTGCATGACCTGCTAAGGTAACCCACTGGGTATGCAAAACCAAGACAATACATTCAGAGACCTCCCAAAATCTAGCTTTATATGAATCCTACATAAATTATAAATCAACTGTTGTGGACCATAAGTGATGTTTAAATATCTATAATGCATTAGAGCTCTTGATGATTTAAACATGTTTGCATTAATAATACAAGATATTTCAAAGATCAAATTCGAAGATTTAAGTATTTCAGAACCACCACTGAAGAAGTGAATGGAGGCCAAATAATGCATTCCCACTGACAAAAGGCACAGTTTTGTAAAAACACAAGAAATAGAGTAATAAGGCATCAAGCCTAGGCATTTCTATATCCAGCAGGCTGTGAAGCACAATGCCTCTGAATCAAACTCCAAAACGTTTGAGTCTAAGGTAACTAGGTACAGAATCTAGGGGCAAAATAGCTGAACAAACATTATTAATGAGCTATGGTCCCTTTTAAAATAAATCCATCAAACTAAGTAACTGAGGCTGAATTATTGGCTTTTCCCCATTTTCAAACATCCTGCGTTTCAGCTGCCTTTCTTTATAGCAATGTAAATATTATGCAGAGTTACCTTCCAACTAAACAAACTTTCTTTACATATTAGTAACACACATATAAAATAAAGTCTAAAGCATCAACATGAACTAATCTAAACAATGATTTCTGTCAGCAAGCTTCAAATCTGCTCGTGTCTCATCGGTGCAGAACTGACCAGAAGATAGTTTACTATTCACGTGAAGAAAAAAAAAAATAGACAAACATAGAAATAGCAGGCTGCAGAGACAGATTACATGCTTTCCTCCCTTGCAGGATAGCTGATATAAGAAAGCCATCTAGTGTTAACTTTCAGAAGTGAAAACTGCGCACAAAAGAGCTCGGGAAAATTTACATGTGCAATTCTCTTCAACTTTGCATGTCTTTTGCATCGTAAAAAAAAATAAAAAAAATAAAACTAGTTTCCTCTAGAAAAGCCAGGCTGAAAGCAAGTATTCAAACTACCGATGTATGATAATAATGCAGCACCAAGTACTAAGGTAGTTTACTGACCTACTTCGTGAACCTTAACAGCCATATCTGAGATTTGTCAGCTTCGGAGTTGCCTTTGTCAAGCCTGGGTAACGCTACTTCCCCATCCGCAGGGGCTCGCACGGCGCAGCCGAGCGCTGCCGCCCAGCACAGAAGGGCTGCAAAGCCACCAGCATCAAATCTGAGGCAAAGTTGAGCCGAGCTGGCTCCTATTTAACGAACCGAACGTCAAGTTTGGAGAACGGACCCCTGAAAAGCTATCGGAGTATTACAAGATAACAAAGAGTGCAAAAGGATGCAGCCTGCGCCTTGTATCTAGCAACCAAAAAAAAAAAAAAAAAAAAAGAGAGAGGGATTTAAATCATTTAAGAAAACTGCACGAGCTGAAGAGGCTTTCCCTCTGCTACCCCAAGCGCTTGGCGGTCCCCGCTGCACCGTGCCCGCTCTGAGCAGCAGCTCTCCCCAGAGATGTCCGATCCGCAAACTTACTCCGCAATTGCCATTATTCTTGGAGTGAGGCCCGGAGAGAGGAGCGGGGGGCTCGGGCTGCCGCACCCGGCGGCAAAACCACCCCGCAGGTGACTGGCGACCCGGCGGACACCCCCGCCGCCCCCACGGCCATTCTCTACGGGGCGGATCGCATCGCTATTTATAAAGGCGACGTGCGGGAGCGAGTCGCCCCGGCCGCCACACGGTGCCCGCCGCGCCGGGGCGGGGTGGCCGCGGCCGGGGCGAGGACGGGGCGCCGCTGGGGAAGGGGGGCCCGCGCCTCCCCGCTGCTTTCCCACCCGCCTCAGCCCTCCGTCCTCCCGCGGAGCCCGGAGAAACGGAGCCTCCCTCCCAAAGGCACCTGAGGGAAGAGGAAATGGGTCTGCCTTCACAGCACCCCCTTCCCTGAAGCGCTCCCGAGCCCTTCCCGGGAGGGAAGGCACTCGCACGCCCGCGGGGCACGGACGCGGTGGCGGGCGCCGCTCCTTACCTGGTGCTGCCGCGGCCGCCGCTGCTGCCCGCGCTCCGGCTGCTTCGGCCGCGGGACCCCCATGCCCCCCGCGCACTCCGCTCCGCTCCGCTCCCCTCCCGCGGGACGCGCCACCCGCGGGGCGCCGGAGCCTTGCACGGAACCGGGGGCCGTCCGCTGGGGTGCTGCGGGGTACTGCGGGCTGGCGTGAGCGCCGCTGCTCCTCCTCTCGTTCCCCCGCCACCCCTTCCTGGCGCTCCCCCGCGCTCCGCCCGGCGCTGGGTCTGGAGTGCGGCTCCGCCGCCGGACGGGAGGGCGGGGCGGCGGCGGGAGGGCGGGGGCAGCAGCGACACTCACACCCGCGCCCGCCGGCCCCGCACGCCCGCAGCTCCGCCCGCCCGCCGGCCCCGCCTCCCGCGGCTCCGCCGGCGCGGCCCCGGGGGACCGCCAACTCCGCATTGGCCACCGGCGCTGTCGCGCATCCCAAACCCCGCGCCCCGCCTGACACCGCCTCCCCCGCCGCCTCTCGCCCGCCGCGGCGGGGCGCGGACGGGGATCCCCGGGGCTCTGCGGGGACAGGCGGCCAGCTCGGGATCGGAAGCGAGCAACAGGTGGGGTGAGGGACGCAGCGAGGCAGAGCGTGGGAGGCCCCGGGAAGGGCCCTCCACGGCAGCGAGCTGGTGAGCGCCCGGTCCTTCAGCTGGCCCGGGCCCCCCAGCTGCTGCCGTGCCCAGCCGAGCGCGGCGGAGCAGCGCCGAGGCAGAACGGCCCGGCGTCCGTCCCTGCCCCGCACGGGGCTTCGCTTTCAAGACCCTGGACAACTCCGCCCGGTCCGGCCGCTCTCAGCCCCCACTCTTGCCCCTCTGCCGCCCTCGGGCTTCTGAGGCTCCCAGAGTGGCGAGCAGCAAGGTGACTGGGACTTTCTGTCATCCTACAGGCTCTGCATTGCCTCAGTGAAAGTCCGTCTCAGAGCCTCTGGGCTTGCTGTGCCCGCACGGCTTTAGTGTGTGCTCTTACCCACATCTTGCAACCGGGGATACCTATAGAGAAGAAACACATGGCAGTGGAGTTCTCGGAATTGCCCTATGTGCTCTGTCTCCTGCGTACACTCATAAGTTTCACGTGGATCAGGAGCATGGAGCTTTTCCTCTGTCTTGTGCAGCCCTGAACAGGTTAGTTTGCCTGCCAAATAAGCCGTGGCTAGATATCCACATTTCCTCCACCTCCCCAGCATGTTCTGGTAAGCAAACCAAAGGCTGTTTTCAGAATTTTAATTTCCCTATTTCTACTCTGCGGGCTAGTTCTGCAAAGAACCTTATCTGTAATCATAGGACCCACTTCTACACAGAGGTTGCAAAATAGAAGATGTTATCAGGACTGATGTGGCTGCTCCCATCTGCTACCCCAAATGACGAGGCTTGTAATACCATTGGAATAAAGTCTACTCCTACAGAACCCTACAGAAACAAACCAGGATTCTTTTATGTTTTTCCAGTCCTCTCTTGCTTTCTTTCCCCTCCACCCATACCCACCTCTCAGGGGTAAGTAACTTTCTGGTTGTACCAGTTCATTCAGCTCTGGCAAGCAGGCTGAATGTTGACATTTACAAATATTCCACTGCCTAGTAAATGTCTCCTCATTGCCTACCTTTTGCTGGAAGCAGAGCAGAAGACTATAGTGGAAAGGAGCTGCCACGTGTATGCTAAAGATCCAAAGGCCAAGTTTTGGGTTATTGCATCTAACGGTTCCTTTAATGCACATTTTACATCAAGAAATACAGTCCACAATCCTAAATGCAAGCATAGGCTTATTAGAACATACTTTGAGGTGTCAAGATTAAAAGCACTGGCAAGCATTACATTCATTAGTTAGGGTTTGGATGCTCGCTTGAGTGTTATTGTTTTGGTTGAAATGTTATTTTAGAATGCTATAATTTCTACCCAAAATCACTAGTCCAGTTAGGCAGCAGACTGTCTCTGTACTGACAGGACCACAGAAATAATATTATTATTGTCCTAAAAAAAGCCTCAGAAAATGCACCACAAGTGAAAGGAATGGTGTGTTTTTCACTTTGTCCTGTTACAAACAGTGTCCTTCCTGGAAGGCTCATTCTCTTAAAATGGAATGAAATCACAAAATGAAAGAAAATATAAATGCAAACAGAGGGAATCGGAAGAGGTTTGAGTGTGTACAGAGTATGGCAGGCAGCGCTTGTCTCTGATTTCCGTGCTGACCAAGTCCTAGAGGGCTCTGGCTGCTTGTTCCGATGAGTCCCTCTCGCTCCGAGGACAGACTCCGCAGCAACTGCTGAATTTTCTCCCCTCGTTGTGGTTCCTCTCGCACGCCGCATCTCTTGCGCCGAAAGGAAGCTGGGTGAGCAGAGCACGAAGGGGAGCTGGGCGAGCAGAGCAGGAAGAGGAGCTGGGCGAGCAGAGCAGGAAGGGAAGCCGGGCGAGCAGCGCCGCTGCTCCCCATCCCCCGCGAGGCCGGTGTGGGGCTCCGGGAGCGCCGCCCGGCCGGAGCCGCCCTCCGCCACCCTCCGCCGCCAGGTGTCCCCGGGCAGCCGCAGGGGGCCGCCCCGGGGCCGCGCTCTCGCTCCGCTTTGCTGAACTCGCCCGGGGAGTGCCTGACCCACCTCGGCTGCGGCTGATTTTCTCCTGCCTGCACCCTCAGTGTAGCTAAATGGTTCTTTCATAAGCTTGGCTATATTTCATGTGCAAACTTAGGAAGGCGGTAGCACACTGTACTAATAGCTGTAATATTTTGCATGCTAAGAACAATATTTGCATGTACTTACTCTGTTTTCTTTTTAAGACTAGTCTTATAAAGCACTTCGGATGCAAATCAGCTTCCTCCAATATTATTTCGATGTTTCACCTACTGTCCTAAAGAACATTATGCTTCAAAAACCTGACATCTTATCTGTAAGTCATGGCATTTCCTTATCCTCTAAAAAAATGCCACTCAGTGCTTACCGACTGCAGTGGTGAGCTTAACTCCTTCCTGTACTTAGGGTGCATTCACCCCTCTGCACACTGTCCTGTCTAAAGCGGCTTCATCTGGATGTGAGAAATGCTTAGGCGGCCTGCTGTGTGGTGCCTCTGAGGCTGACATCCACCATTAAAAAACAGACAAACTGTGGTAGTGCCTGTGAATTAAAAAAAAAAGTATTTCTCAGATGACAGAATGTACTTCGTGATGGAACTGTGATAACTGACTTACTTAACAGGTCTAGGTATTTACAGCCAACACTCTAAATGGTGTTTAGGTTGCATTCCCAAAAATAATCATTACCTGTTTCTTGACAAGATCCAGCACACTGATACATATTAGGGTTTTGCTGTTAGGACAGTCTGGAATCTTGCTGTGATCACTGCTTTTTTTTTTTTTTTTTTTTTTTTTCCTCCTTAATTTATTTTTTAACTTTTTTTTTTCCCCCTCTCTGACTCCTTTTCCTTCTCTCTCACTCTTCTCTCACTCCTCCAGTATCATTCCTTTTGGCTTCCAGGCTACCATCTGTGTACCCTCAGGGAGTCAACAAGAGAAGAACAAGGGCCAGAAACCAGAACACAGGTGAAAAGAGGTAAACAGAAGCTTCTTGCAATAATAAAGGAATGTTCAAGCCTCAAAAGCACAAGAGCAAATGAAGCAAGAGGAATCCCTTGCCCAAACTAAAAACTGATAAACCTACAATTGAAATGGGTGGAAAAAAAGAGGACACTGACTTTCGATTCAGGTTCTAATTCTTGCAGGATGCATGTATTTACTTGAATTGCCTAGTGAAGGACACTCACTTGCCACAGATTTGGGATAAATCACAGCAGGACAGTTCAGCCTTTGACAATATAGATCCAGAAGGATTATAACAGCTCAGCTACACAAGTAACATGCAAGCAGAAATCAGACAGAAGACACCCCACAGACTACATGCTGGGCAGCTCTGATTAAGATGGGTGCCACCTTTTTCCTGCAGTTCTCTCCTCCTGTTCTGATTTAACTTCACTTCTCCTGTTGATATTTAACTTTCAGAGTACCCAGCTCAGCCACATGTGAAACTAGTCTTCAGACACTGTTAGCACACAAGGAATTGTTCCAACATCACCTACTAAGTGTTTGTTTCCAGTGACATAAAGACAACTCTAACAACCAAACTGGACTTTTTCATTCGTTCTTAGGGAAGTGGATCCAACTGAGATCCTTGGAAGTGGTGTGGGAGGGGGAAAAGACATCCGGTAGCCACATGATGAGGCTTGTTTTGCTGACAGAAGGCAAATAGAAATAGGCAAGCTGAAGAAAGTTTAGGTTTGTTTCCTCAGCCTTGTGCATAAGCCTAGAATCCAGATGAAGTAAGTGTATGCTGAGCACAAGATTTCACTGATACATAAAGATGTCATCTCACTCACAAATCTTTTTGCTGAGGTTGCTCAGTATTTCCTAATGCACTTAACAAGGCGAGGTGCTCTATTTGGGAATTCTGGCTAGGTCTTTGGAGCAACTTCAACTCCCTTTGGTCAACCAGAGGAAGGCTGTGAGCAGCAGCAGCAATGCAGCTCTGGCTTCACAGGCTCTCAGTGAATCACCATGCCATTCACAGGCTGGTCCGAAGGTCAGCACTGCAGGCAAATCCCCAGACTCCATGTTTCCATAGATCCAGCAGCCCTGCAGCCGCACTTGTATAGCCTGGTGCATCCAAGAAGTCCTATTCCAGTAACCACTAAGATTTGGCAGTTTCTTATACCTCAGAATAGGCTGAGTGGATTTTGTTCTTCTAACCCCAAGTTGCCCTTTCATTTGGACATTATATGGGTGAAACCATGTACTCAAACTCTGTAAAGTGCTTATTTTACATGTTGCTCCCAAAGTGCAAGCAGAGTTTACCACAAACTAATATTTCATCCCAGTGGCTTCCCTAAGATATGAGCAATTCAGTGAAACAAAACATCCTCTGTATCCTCTGAAACTAGTTTTGAAAGCCCAGATGGCAGAAAATACCATTGGTTTTAATTAGCAATATCCTTTACATGAATCCCCTATTAACCAAAAGAGCATACTATATTTCATCTCACTTCCTCTAGTTTACTTACTACTGCCTCTCTTCTCTGTGGTTTACCAGCAGGAAACCACCAGTGGGGACATATCCAGATAAGATTAAACAACATAATATTATCATCCTTACTATAACCAGGCTGGCAGATTTTTTTGCTAGATGCTAAAATGAGATTCACAGCCATTTTGGCTTCCATTCTCTGTGGAAAGAAACCATTCTTATCAGTCCACAATACTTCACTAATTCCTGAACTATTTCACTTGTGACAGGCCATTTTATTTTATTTTATTTTTCACTGAAATGCACTCCAGACAGAAATCCAGGTTCACCCTAATTGAATGTAATAGGAAGCAGAAGCAGGGTGTCCTGGAAGTGGATGTATCTCCAAAGGTAAGAGTGTTTTAGAGCAAGGTAGTTGTGGGCACTGCTCTGAGGAGCTATTGAAAAGTCACCAAGTGACTTCTTTCTAGTCACAGCAGGACAAGAGTGTGCCTGGCTCCATACATTTCTAGCTCAGCTCCCCTCTGAGGATTTTTCAATGGACACAAAACCTCAAGACTACAGATGAGAAAAAAGAGATGCAGACAGATGCAGGGGAAAAAAGATGGGCTTTTTTCTTGCACCATGCTAATCTCATTCTACCTTGGATATTCCCAGTCCAAATTCTTTATGCCTTGTCATGCTGGGTAAAGCATAAACTCCCTGCAGCAGCGTAAGTAGAGCTGCATGTGACATTTGCAGCCATTGTATACATCACTTTTCACTGAGACTGGAGCACTATTAACCCATAGCTAACATGGATGGTCACTTTTTACTTGCAAAATCTCCCAGAGTTTTTTATGGGATCAGTACTGTTCTGCAGTTCTGGAAGAATGCTGCTGTGGTTTTTATCAGAAAACTTCAGTGTCTTGAAAAGACATCTCTAATCCCTTAGCTGTTTCACAGATACTGAGACCACATTAATTCCCAAGGAATTTCTCCTGCCAGGTAACAGAAAGTTCACCCAGTAAGGGAATCTCATCACTGTAAACAGGTTGCAACATCCAACTGCTGAGGAGGGAGGGGAAAAACTGGAGTAAATTGGCATGACGAGGTGTGTGAATGAAGTCAGCCAGGGAGAAAAGACAGTCTAGGCATCAAAAGACTGCTTCAGCCCATCCCCAGGGCAACTTCTGCTGGCAACTCTCATAATGTCTGCATCTTAGGTCAGGCAAATTGATAATATACACTAAAATGTCATTATAATTATCACTGAGATCAGTTCTTAATATGACCACTCTTCTTCCTTTTTGGGTTTGTTTTTGGTTTGTTGTTGTTGTTGTTGTTTTTGTTTGTTGGTTTTGGGGTTTTTGTTTCTTTTTGTTGTTATTAATTTGACAAGCATATCTTCTGGGACTGACATTTTCCAGACTTGGTATTAGCACATGACAAGTTTTGAAAGATGAAAGAGAATCAGCAGAGCAATTAAAGCATATAAAGATTATTTTCCACATGGCTGGACCAAAACTTTTGCACTTGATATAACTCCAAAAGAATCTGAAATTAGAAACAAAACATAATTATTAAAAAAATACTTAGTTCTTAATAGAAAAATGTTCTGAGCTAATTTTTAAAGAAGTTTGAAGGTTTTGGCATTTCTAAGTTGTTAGTTGTTAATGTTTGTTAAATTTTCATTTTAAGATGCTGTAATGAGATATAATTGGGTGGGTTGTTTCTCAAATGGAATAAAAGATTATATATTTTTAAACTAGATAGTTATTTTAATAACTGAGGTAAAATGAAGAAGAGAAGGCACTATGAAATCACTATTGATCTCACCACACCAAACTAATTTTTTTGGGAAAGACTTAAGACGGTGCTGAGAAGTATGGAAAATCCATTGATAGAGAAATTGATCTTTGTTAAGGACATTCTACTTGAAGAAAATTAGTTAATACTTTTTCAATGTTCCATAAAGTCCTAGACTCTAAAGCTCCAAAGGCCCATTTTTGATAATCTGCTCTGACCTCCTGTATATTACATGTCATTGAACTTCTATGAATTAATTTTTGTTTCAGTTATGTGTCTTCTAGAAAAATTTCCAATCATTATATACATATTCTCACTAAAGGAAAATTCACTGGAGTCCTTGGTACATTGTTTCAATTACTTTCAGTGTTAAAAATGTGTGCCTTATTCCTAGTTTGAACTGTCTACCTTTCAGCTAATGTATCTTGTTATACTTTTGTCCACTATATTGAAAAGTTCATTCACGCTGTGTGCTCAGTGCTGGTACTTACTGACAGTAACTGTGTTACTCCTCAGTCCTTTCTTTTATAAAGGACATAGATACAGCAATGAGAGGTTTCTGCTATGATGTGTTTTTCATTTCCCATAATATGTTTCGTGGTTTTTCTCTGAATTGTTTTCCCTCTGAGCTCGTTCTAAATTCCTGAAATGTAGGAGAATGCAGATGCCATACTGTCAAGAACCCTAGGGAGATGCCTTCTGCAAGCAAGGATCTTTGTTAAGTTTCTATTGAACCATTTCTGTTACTTTCAAACTGTGCCATTAGAATCTATGCTCCTATTCCATCTCACATCTCCCAGTTCTCATTTTAAAGTATTCCATTTGAAACAGCAGACAGACAGGAAACAATCATGACTTATTTTGTGGGCCTATTATATAGCATTGTTCTGCTGACCACCATTTGGAATGGAAATACAGAATATTTTAATTCACAAGAGGAATCACAAATCTCAGAGAAGTAATTTGTTTTAGCTCACCGAACTATTTCTAGTGGAATCAAAATGCAAATTCACTTACTTTTGATGGTTCTCACATGGCCCAAACCGTTATTTAACTCTTTATCTTTGGTGTCATGTAGGTGATGAAGCCTTTCCTTGGATCACGTACGCATGAAACACATTTCACTGGCTAATCTGGCCCACATGAGAGAAGCAAAGGTGAATATTTTTGAACATGGGCCTCCTAATAACCTCAGAACTTTTACTTTTGTTCGGTGCTATGACATCCACTGATAACACTATTTTCTACAGTCTTCTAGCAGAAAACACTTTCTGCCCCTAAAATTCACAAAGGATGCAAACTGAGGATCACAAGAGAATCCATGTTTGCTTTTAATTTGGTGCCAGATGCTGCTAGTATCTAGTGTACCTACTTGTGGTCTTTGGAGAAGGCACCTGCTCCTGCTTACACCAGAAAACAACTGGAAAGAATGATAACTTGGATTTATTTGCTCAAATGCTTGAAGAGCCAGGACACACCTTGTACCCACATAGTGTGTCTCCTGGTATTTTTTAATTGATGTATCTTGGCTTTCATCTACCCCACAAGCTGTGGGCATTTTTCACAAATTATCTCTTCTTTGTCATCCACAGCTCCATTTTCTCGTTTTGCAGCCTGCTAAATTGGTAACAGTGTAGTAGGAAAGAATGAGTTTCTGACTCATCTATCATGAGTCATCTAACAGTTTGGTGAGGTTTGTTTTTCTGCTATGACTCTGCACCTGGCACTTGGAGTAGTATAACATTACCTTTATGTTTCTTCTGACACTGCATTAAAACTTGCGAATTCATTGAGCACTCTGCTCAGAAATGAACAGGCCACAGAAGAAACCTTGATAATACCCTTTGGCTTCTTTGTGCTTAAGTTGTAAGTGATTCAGACCTGATTGTCTTCTGCATCAATGAGCTATTTGCATTACTCTGGCAGCGAGGCTTGGGGCCCCAGGAGAGCCAGGGCAATGTCAGCTTTGCTCAGATGTGTGTTTGCTCTGGGCAGACTCTCTTTGCAGGGGCAGCAACAAGCTTGAGCAATAGAAATCTGGGGTAGTCAGCCCAAGAGGGAACATTACAGAAGAAGCTTTATTGCTCAGTTTGCTGTGTCAGTTTGAGCAGCACTGCTACCCAGGTGGCCACAGTGTGCAGAATGATCCAGCCACTAGGAGACACACACCCTTTGCCAGGCCTGGAAAAGAGGTTTTCTGGGCTGGTTGATCCCACTAGTGGGGCACCACAGGGAAATTATGACAGACACACAAGGCTTTAGTTGAGTCTTGATATTGCCAGTTGTAGCTACTTCATCATTAACTACTTGGTAATT